TGATAACAGAACAAGTACTCTTCAATTTAATGGTTACGAAATATTTGTAGAAGGAATGAAAAAGAACAAGAGTTGCTAATTGTTTTTGGTGTTTCGAAGTTACAAAATACTATAGTTGCTTTTAAGCTCTTTAACCGATTGTGCGATTGAAATTTTCTACGAAAAGCTGCAGATGCTTAGATATTGTTGGTGGGTTATTGATATGTATTTCAAATTGTATATAGTAAGAAGCTGCTGATAATTGTGTGTGTATTTTTGTTTGTGGGTCGGTCATTGGGTTTGCTTATTGGTTTTGTGTTGGTTCAAAAGCATTGCAGGAGTTTTGTGATTAAGTCCGGGACAGGTTTAATGGGAGGGAAGGATAAATCTCATAAAAGGGACAAGAGAAAGAAAGGTAATTTTGATGACACTTCTAAGAAAAAGGTGTCTGGAAAGGCAGCTGATGGCTCTTTTAAAACCGAGAATTTTGCGAAGCATCGGATGAATTACGCGCCTCATCAATCCGTTGTCAGGTATTAAGACATTGGTCTGGTTCTTCTTATGATCAATTAAACGTCTCATCAATGTAATGTGCGCTGACTGTGTTAGTATCTGGAGTTATGAACAGTTTGCACATGTATTTATGAGTTTGAATAAATCTTTTTAGGAAGCAGGTTGACCCGGAAACCACGAAATACTTTTCTGAGATTGCCAATCTTTTCGAGAGTAATGGGGTTGATTTGGAGGAGCGGGCGGTTATATGTGGTAATGCTCTTGAAGAAACCAGAGGGAATGAATTTCAACTTGCGACTGATTATATCATAAGCCACACTTTGCAGATGCTTCTCGAGGGATGTGATATTGACCACCTTTGTGATTTCCTTCGAAGTTGTGCAAAGGACTTTCCATTTATCGCGACGGATCAATCGGGTTCTCATGTAGCTGAGACTGCTATTAGGTCTTTAGCTATGCATCTTCAAGACAGTGATGTCTACTCTGTTGTTGAGGATACTTTAACCATGATATGCAAGGTATTAGGAATTCTGTATTTCAGCTAAGAAGATTGGTTTGCTGTTAGGCTAGACTGTAAATGTAATGTTCATCTCGATAGTGATTGCTCTGTCCAGCATCCCAAGTCAGAAAGCGAAATGTGCGACTTATGGACACGGCTTAACCTATGATTTTTTAATTTAATACATCATTTTTTTCCTTTTTTTTTTT